TTTTTTTAAAGTTCATGTTAAATTTAACAAGGCGCAAATCATCCTGTTTATTCTCGTCTCTTCTTTAACTCCTTAGAAATATGCCTCATTGATGTTCTCCCTTCCTCTCTTTCCCTCTCCCGTCCCCCTCCTCTCTCCTTCCTCTCAATCTTTCCTTCTCTCCCTCTCCTTTCTCCCCCTTTCTCTCCCTCCCTCTCTCTTACTCTACTACTTCCTCTCTCTTTCTCCCTCCTCCTCTCCCTCCCTCTCTCTTCCTTTGTCTCCCCCCTTTCCCTCCTCTCTCTTTCTGGCTTTTCCATAGTAACAGAAGGACTTAAGCTACAGGATGGGTGAGTGAAAGCATGAATATCTATTGGTGAAGTTAGCTAAAAAATGCTAGATCTAAGTAGTAGGTGGTCTCAAATATTCCCCCTCTTCCCCCCACCCCATGAAAATAATGCTGACCATAATAATGAATTCTGGGATTTTTGCCGGAAATTCTCAATGATTTCTCAAAGTACTTAGTATTTGCATTTCCAGATAGTAGAGATTAAGTAAATGTGACAGATTTCTAGGGCTCTTGGTGCCAGTGATTCCCACAATAGCACAGTAGTGCAGTAGAAAGAAGACTGGCCCAATAGTTAGAAGATTCATGTTCCAGTCCCTGGCTCTGTTAGAAGCTTGGTCTTCTGGATTGAATTAAGTACTCTGCCAGTTCTATGATCAGTACAGTCTAGGACCTCAAGGAACTTGTAATCAAATAAAGAAGGTGTCACACACAAGGGCAATAAAAAGAGGGAGAGATAATTTTCTAAAGGGGCAATTAGGGAAAGGTTTAGGGATAAGGCAATATAGGAGCTGGGCCTTGGAGCAAGGGAAGAAATTCTTCATACAGGAAGCTTGTAGGAATATGACAGTGTCCCCTATATAAGACCTTAAATTAATTTTATTGTTAGTTAATAACCTTTTTCGTGTATAGGTCACTAAATGTTCTTGGTGTTCCAGAAGGCTTAACCTTAGCCTTTATGGTTCCAGCAAACCCTGGTCAAGCTAGCTCAGGGTTATGTTCATTTTTATTTCCTTTCTAACTTTTAGTTACCACACTCCATTAATGTAATCATAGTATTGTGCTTAATGACCAACATTATCCAAAACCACGAAATGGCTGGGAGATCAAGCTATGGATTTAAAATCTCTAAAAGCATCATATTAAGGGACAGGCAAATCTACTGGAATTAACTGAATAAAAATTCAAAAAATTTCCCAGAGCTTTCACTAACCATGATCCTTTTGAAAATTCTAAATGTCATAGGAAAAGCTTTGAAAAAAATTATTCTGATTCTATATTTAGAATCCAGGACAATTTTTGCTTTAATATGGGAATCACAATATATAGGTCTGCTTTTCTCAACCTCAAATGAAACTTGAAGCTGTGGACCCATGACCCATTTAGATTTTCTCCCAATATCTGTTAAAATTAAAGAGGTATGAAATATATGCCAATTGCTAAAATTCTGCTTCATCATGTCACATGGCCTAAAGTAACTGATTTCTTGATGGTCATGCCAGAACAACAAGAAGAAAATCAAGACCTAAGCTCAGGTCTTCCTACCTCCAAATCCAGTATTCTTTCCACTGAATCACCTCCTAGTGATTTCTTTGCTTTGATTTTATTATTGTGAAAATCATTTCTTACTGTTAGTGTTTTGAAAAGCAATTAAATACCAGGCTTTCATTAATGATTTTTCAACTGATAAACCCTTTAAAGAAGTTAAAAAGTTCTCCTTTGGTATTTCATTTTGCAAGATTTTCATAAAAATAATTAATTGGTTTATTTCCTAATTCTCAATATCTTTTCTTCAAATGTCAAGAATATTTTCCTGGCTTCTTGTTTTTTTTTTTTTTGATAAAAAATTTCTAAGACCATAGTATGGTCTTGGTGAACCTTCTTCTGGTCCAGATGAAAAAAATGGATCTTTTAATAACTATTATATATTTGGACATCCCCTATACTTGCCAGTTGGTGCCTGATTATAAACAGACATGAAGATCAAGGCAAATATGGGAATGACAAGTAACACCTCCTATCTAGGTGTGTGGTTGTGGCAATTTGCCACCCAATAAATTAATTGAGATTTAGGCTTATACACATAGGCCACAGTGAGTTTAGGTATAATTCATTTCATCAGTAGAAAGTAAAGTCTTCAGGTTTACTTATTTTGAGAAGAAAGGGTCTTTGGCTTTGCAGATGGACTAAAATTTGCTGTAGACTATTCCACATATTGGCACTTATAAAACACTCATATAGAGAGCAGTGAGAAATATACTCTTTCAAAAATTTCTAGGATGATGTTAAAAATAATAATAGGCAGTGTGCCATAGCAGATATACTCAGGAACACCTGGGTTCAAATATGGCACACGTATTGGTGAGTGACTCTGGTCAAGTCACTTAACTCTCAACTTTCAAAGATTATACACTGCAGAGCAGGTGCTGACCTGAACTGGTAGAGGGAGTTTCCTCGTAAGAAATTCCCTTATTCCAATGAAATCATAGGTCTAGTTCAAAAAAAAGAAAATAATCATATTTTTCTAGGTGCTTTTAGGCTTATATAGTATTTTTTTTTCATGAAAACTCTATAAGGTTCAAAGTACAAATATTCTTATTGTTAAGTTCAGCAAAATAAGTGCCCATTCTGACATAGACAATGAATATCTACTGTATCCAAAATTTTAACCCAGGTTTCTGGACTCCAGGTCAGGACTCCCCACTACAGCATGTAACCATCCAAAGTCCTCTGGTTGGCATTTAGGATTCTTCATACTTGAGCACCAACTAAAATAGCCAGCCTATTTGATAGACAAACTTCACTATTTATACTCCTAGAAAATAGATTTCATTTTCTCTCCATACATACTTGTGCTTCTCCTCTTTGCCTAAAATTCCTGCCCTATTCTTGCTCCACATTTCTATCAAAACTCTACTCATTCTTCAAGGCTTAATTCAAATGTCACCTGCTTAATCTCTATGTTGCATTAGCTACAGTCTCCATCTTTGAGTTGGAACTCAAGCTCCCGCCCCTGGGACTCTAGGCTTCTGGTTGATGAGTCCCCACCTTAACTTGCCTGGACCCAGACTCACCACTCAATTCCCTGGCCATCTTAATGCCACTGAATCCTCTCCACTCTCTGTCCCATAAATCTGGCTCTGAGAAGAGTAATCAAATTAACACTAGCATTCCTGGAAAGGATAACTTCTCTTTATCTCCAAACATTTCCATGTCTTCTCACTTCTCTATGCTTTCTGTCCACCATCAGTTCTCTCCCCTCTTCTCCTTTTTTCTCCCTCTCTCTCCTTCCCTCATTTCTTTCCTCTCTGTCATTCTTCTATCTCTATATCTATCTACCTATCTATCTACTATATCATCTAGTTCTACTATTTATCTACTTACTATATTTCTTTATCTTTCTATCTACCTATTCATCAATCTTCCAACTGTCCATTTATCTATTCTTTCTTTCTATCTGTCTACTATATCTATCATCTATCTCTACTATCTACTTGCCATATTTCTCTACTATTTATCTTTCTATCTATCCATTCATTCATCCATCTATCTATCTACTATCTATCCACTTATCTATTCTATCTATCTACCTACCTATTTATCTATCTATCTACTTGCTATATTTATCTACTATTTATCTTTCTATCTATTCATTCATCCATCTATGTACTATTTATCCATTTATTTTATCTATCATGCATGTATGTATGTATGTATGTATGTATGTATCTATTTCCCCTGTTAAAATGTAAGTTCCTTGAGAGCAAGGACTTTCTTGCTTTCTTCTATTTATGCCTCAGCACATAGCAGAGTGCCTGGCACATACTAAATACTTAACAAATGCCTTTTTAGTTATTCACTCCTCAATAAATTCTTACTTGATCATTAGTAAAGTCATTTTGCCTCCTATGAATTCCTACCACCTCACTTTGTATCTCATTTATCATATTCTACCTTGCATTAGAGTTATTTGTGCATTCATTTTCCTTCCTCTATGAGATTATAGCTACTGGAGAGCACGGACCATGTCTTATTCAGCTTTGTTCCCCCCATTTGGTTGAGTGCCTTACACAGAGTAAGCATTCAATAAATATTTCTTGATGACTAAATGAATGAGTTTGAAATTTGCCAACTATTACAGAACAAGCTGGTGGAAAGTACCAAATTAAACCCACTAGGAAATGGCATCAACAAGAAAAAAAATATCTCACAGTTCCAGGTGACGTCATCTCATAAGGGAGCCAGATAGGTTAGGGAATTTCTAGGTTTGTTATCAATTGATGAAAGAAGATGAGGATCTAAAGATGAGTAGACAGCCTGAGTCAGTAAAAAAGACACAGGTGTCTCTCTCTGACACACTCCACCCAGCTCCCTCCAAAACACACACATACACCCACACCCACACACCCACACCCCCCTACACACACTCCTTTGTTGCTGGGGAGGAAATATTACCAAAAGGAGATTAGCGTGATTTGCTTCAAATTGCTTAAGATTTTAAAATGATCTAAAATAATGGAACTAGGGACAATAATTAGATTTAAAAAACTTCCAAAAGAAAGTACAAAGAAAAAAGTGCCCTTAAGTCCCTTAGCTATATTTTTAGTGGGTTTGTGGACAATTAAGTAGTTTAATTTATTCTACTTGCAGCACATAAGTAGATCAGAACTTAATTCTTTGCTGTCTTCTGTGGAATTATATTCCATGGTTGATTTATTAAAAACAATCCCTTCTGAATGAAGAACTAGCATTAGAGTCTCATCAGTTAACCTTGTTTTTCTTCTCCTTTGTCTTTCTGAAGAGAGCTTAATGGAGCATAAATCACCATTTTTTTCCCTCATTATGCCACGGCTCCCCAGGAGCAGAACTCATCCTGTTAAGTGCCCCAAACTTAGGTGTAGGAGCACAAACACCCCCACACACATGCCTGCACCCCTACACACCCACACTTTACCTTGAGCTATAAAAGGTATGGTCTCCTCTTTAATGGGAACACTTCTTGGTCTTGGGGCCGGGGCTGGAGGTCTGTTTATAATGAAGGACCTGCTGCCTATTTTCTTCTTCATACTCCCATTGGCCAATATTATGTCATATTCATTCTCTTCAATTTCTACAGATGTATAAGGGTCTTCCTCTTCTTTTTCCTCATCCTCTTCTTTCTTTTCCATCTCCCTTTTCAGCTCCTCCTCTGTCTCTTTTTTAATTCCAAGATCACACCAGGCCTGACTTCGTGCACTTTGTTCTTCTAGTATTTTCCCTGCCATAAAAGATTTAGGATGCATTTAGCCTCTTGTTACATACAGCATTAATGCACATTGCATGCACATTACATGCACACTACATGCATTTCATTCCCCAGACTGTTTACATTAACACTAAATTGAACAATATAAGGGAGAGTCAGTCAGTCAACAAGCATTTAGGCATTTACTATGTGCTAAGCATTAGGCATTTACTATGTGCCAGGAGGCAGCTAGATATCTCAGTAGATAGAGTGCTGGGCCTGGAGTCAGGAAGGACTGAGTTCAAATTCAACCTCAGATACTTCACTAGCCATGTGACTATGGGCAAGTCACTTAATCTCTGTTTGTCTTAAGCCATTGGAGAAGGAAATGGGAAACACTCCAGTATCTTTGCCAGAAAACCCCATGGACAATATAGTCCCTGGGGGTTAAGATGAGTTAGACACAGTAGGACAACTGAACAACAACAATATGCCAGCAGTGGGTGGGGATGCAAAGAAAAGCAAACATATGGTCCCTACTCTCAAGGAGCTCACATTTCAGTGTGGTGAGACAATATACAAACAACTGTGCATCTACCAAACCTATGCAGACTAAATGGATGGCAATCTCAGGAGGAAGGCTTCAGCGGCGCACATTGAGAGAAGACAGGAAAGGCCTCTTCCAGAAGGTGGAGCTAGTGTTGAATACCAAAGGAAGTGAAAGAAGCAAGAAAGTTGAGGTAAAGGGGGAGAGGGTTGGGAGATGTAACATAATATCTAATAATGACAAAGCCACCATTTTTTCTTGATTGTAGAGTGTCAGGAGAGTAATAAAGAGTAAGAAGACTGTAAAAGTAGGAATAGGCGGGTTATGAAGGGCTTTCAAAGCCAAACAGAGCATATTTGATCCTCCAGGTAAAAGGAAGCCATGGGAGTTTATAGAGTGGGTGGATGGGGTACATGGTCCATAGGAAGACCTGTATTTCAGGAAGATCACTATGCTTGTAAAGATCTCATTGGAGGATGGATGGGAATGGGGAGAAACCTGAGGCAGGGAGACAGCCAGCAGCCTTTTACAATAGTCTAGGTGTGAAATGATGAGGGCCTGCCCCAAGGTTTGGCCAAGTCTCCTACCCTCTATTTCTTCACCTGTAAAGTGGGGATAAAACTGCCTGTACCTCTCAGAATTGTGTGAGAATCAAATGAGCTGAATATATAAAATACATCAGAGAGGCATTTTAGAAGGAAGTTGATAGGCATATATACTGATACACAAAATGTCTATAATGATCAATATATAAATTCTTATCACTAATGATCATGGTTTTCTTGATATGGAGGCTTGTGATGGTTCTAATAATAATTAATTCATGCATAACTGTCTCCAACTGAGAAAACAATGATGCATGATGTTAGCCTGTCCTGTTACTTTTAGTTAAATTGTATGTATGCAGGATCAGGTTCTTAATATACTCCAAACATGTCTTTTTATTGGCAGGCAAACAAAATTCTTTGCCTTATCTTGTGATCATCAAATAACAGTTTTTGAATGGATTTCTTCCAGATATCTTCCATGACAAGTGAATTATGCTACAAAGTCAAAAATAGGAAGTCCTTTTCAGAATTTCTTCTGATTTTTCAAGCACAACTTCAGACTATATTTACATGTAAAATGTATATCCTGGGCCATCTCCAGTTCTCCTAATCTATATCTGGCTACTGGTCCCACATGGCTCTGGAAGGGAAAGTAAGGCTGGTGACTTTGCACAGCTCTCCCTCACTTAAAACCAATTCATTTGCAAGTCATGGCATCATCTTGCTGATGTCATGGTCTGTGGGGAAGGCATAAGATATAAACATGAATAACCCTAATAGAGAAGATTAGAGGATAAGGGTATTGAGGAGTTGCGGAACAACACTATGTCAAGTACAGGGGGTGATGTCATTAAGAGACATACATTTTTGTATATTGCCATCGAGGGAATTTATTTTGCTTGCATTTGTTACAAAAAATCTTTTTCTTTTTCCAATAGGAAAGGAGGTGGGAAGGAAAGAGAATAGATACCTGTTAATTAAAATAGAAGAAATGAGGGTAGTGCTACAGATGGGGAAAGTTTCCTGCATTTTTGAATGAGGTCACTGTGTCATTAGTTTTAATTAATTATTTTATTTTGTTATAGGGGACCTCTCACAGAAAGGAAGTAATATGTACATGTTTATGATGTAAAAACAAAACACATCAATAAAACTTTTAAAAAATTAAGGGGAAGGCATGAAGGAAGCTGTCATGTAGGATAAGACATTCAATGTATACCAGGGTTTCTTTTTTATTTTTAAATTAATTAGTTTATTTTGAATTTTCAACATTCACTTTCATAAGCTTTTGAGTTTTAAATTTTCTCTACCTCCCTCTCCTCCCCCTTCCCTAAGACAATATGCAATCCAATATAGGCTCTACATATACATTCCTATTAAACATATTTTCACATTAGCCAAGTTGTGAAGAAGAATTAGAATGAATGGGAGAAAGCATGAGAAAGAAGAAACAAAACAACAACAAAAAAAGAGAACAAATAGTCTTCTTCAATCTGCTTTCAGACTCCATAGTTCTTTCTCTGGATGTGGATAGCATTTTCCATCATGAATCTTTTAGAGTTGTTTTAGATCCTTGTATTCCCGAGAAGAACTAAGTGTGTCAAAGTCAGTCATCGCACAATGTGGCTGTTACTATGTACAATGTTCTCCTGGTTCTGCTCACTTCACTCGGCATCAGTCCATATACATCTTTCAAGGTTTTTCTGGTCTGCCTGCTCATCATTTCTTACAGCACAATAGTATTCCATAACATTCATATGTCATAACCTGTTCAGCCATTCCTCAATTGATGGGCATCCCCTCAATTGCCAATTCTTGGCCACTACAAAAAGAGCTGCTATCAATATTTTTGTGCATGTGGGTCCTTTTCCCAATTTTGTGATCTCTTTGGGATATAGCCCTAGAAGTACATACCTGGGTTTCTTAATCTGGGGTCTATAGACTTTTTTTAATACTCGAATAACTATTTCAATAAAATTGGTTTCCTTTATAATTCTATATATTTTATTTTATGTATTTAAAAATTATTCTGAAAAGGACCTATAGGCTTCATCAGACCACCAAAGGGATGTATAACAGAATGAAAGTTAAGACCCTTTGAATGAGATTTTAAAGGCCAGGTTGTAGTTCAATTGGCAAAGTTGGAGAAGGTTTGCTTGGCTTAGGAAATAGGGTGAGGAGAGACACAGAGTGGAGAGAGCAGAACAATGTGGTTCTAGAGGCAGAGAATAATCTGGCACATTTGGATTATGGAATGAGTGTTTGGGAGGTATGATTGGGAATGTAGGCACCATCTTTACAACTCCCAAGTCCAGACCTTTTAGTGAATCAGGGCATAGCTTGGGTTTTCTCAGTCCTTTCATCTGCCTTACTACCTGTGTGACTTTGGGCATGTTACCTAACCTCCATTGGCCTCTCCAGGCTGTCTACACTTGTAAAATGAGGAGTCTGTACTAAATGGTTTTTGAGATCTCTTCTAAGTCAATGGATCTTATTTATTTCTGTAACTGTTCCTTCTCTGTCTCTACTGATTTCTCATCTTCATGAGCCCTTGATATGGTCCTCCAAAGGTTCATGGTTAGCCCTCTGCTCCCTTTGTATCTACTCCTTCCCTTGGCAAACTTACTTGCTTTCCCAGTTTCAACTGCTATCTCTATGCAGGTAACTACTAAATCTATATCTATATCTATCTATCAGATACATACATATATATGTCTGTATCTTTAAGCTCTGAGCTCACATCTGCACTCATATCTGATCTCAATTGCCTACAATACATCTTTGCTTGATTGCTCACTGGTACCTCAAGCACATGGTCAGCTAAGTGGCACAGTGGTTAGAGTGCCAGGCCTGGAGTCAGGAAGACTCATTTTCCTGAGTTCAAATCTGACCTCAGACACTTACTAACTGTATGACCTTCAGCAAGTTACTTAACCCCATTTGCTTCAGTTTTCTCATCTGTAAAATGGGCTGGAGAAGGAAATGTCAGACCACTGTAGTATCTTTCTCAAGAAAACCCCAGATGGGGTCATGAAGAGTTGGACACAACTGGAAACAACTGAACAACAACAACGCTCTCAAACTCTCAAAATGGAACTTATTATCTTACCCCCTTAATCTATACCTTCTTCTGACTATTATCTATTTAGGGTGCCACCATTCACCCCATCTCCCACGTTCACACACTTGGGGTTAATGCTATCTCATGACTCCTCTCTAATTAGTTACCAGATCATAAGAATCACAACTATACCATGACCAATACCCTTCCTTTCCTCTGTATTTTTAGTAACATCAGTTTAATAAGGTCCTCATTACCTATATGCAATAGATTTCTTATTTCTCTATTCTCTTCCCTCCAAGTCCCTTCAATCCATCTTTTATATCACTGCCAGAAAAACAATCATTCTTATATTACAGATTATATTATATTAGATATATATATTATATTAGAGATCTTGTTATTTCACTCTTCTGCTCAACAAAGTTTCCCGTACTGGCTTTTAAAGTTCAAACGGCTATGGCTGGCATTCAAAACCCTTTATAACCTGGTGCCATTCTATCCTTATTCATAGGATCATAGATCTAGAACTTGAAGAAACATTAGAGGTGTTCTATTCTTTCATTTTATAGATAAGGAAACTGAGGCCCAGAGACATTAAGTCCAAGGTGACATAAGTGGTAAAGGGCAGAACTGGGACGCGACTCCAAGTTCAGCGCACTTCTGCCTGTATCACATTCCCTGCCGTTCTAGCTAACTTAGATAACTCTTTGCCCCATGAACTTACCCCATTTTTTATGCTTTGATCGAAGCCGGTCCATTGCAGACACCCCGAATTTCCCACTTCCACACCTTTATGTGTGGAATTTCCCTCTGTTGATGCTAGGAAACTCAAAGGCCACCTGACATCTTCATCATAGCATAACACATCTTGATCTAAGAGAAGCCTCACAGTCCACCAACTTTAAACGCCTCATTTTACAGATGAGAGACGCAGAGGTTAAGTGATCTGCCTAGAGGCACACAGCTAGTGAGTATCTGAAGCAGGAACTGAACTCAGGTCTTGCTAGCTCCAGGTCTAGTTCTCTATATACTAGCCCCTACTGTCTCCACCAGGCCTTCACTGATCTTTGGAGTATTAGTTGCCCCTCCCATCTGCCACAGTTGTTTTTTTTTTTGTTTTTTTTTTTTGTTAATGTATTTAGCATTCATGCCTTATTACTCTATCATTCTAGAAAAACCTTGAAAGTAGGCACAAACTGCATTTTCTTCATTGCCTGTATGCCATAGCCACTCAACAAATGTTTATTGTATTCATTGTATTGTCTTGAAAGTCAGGCCTACGTCATATCTGTGTGTGCATCGGAGAAAAACAAAGTACCTCGTCCAAAACTGGCTTGCTCGATTCACTCAAAACTCACCTGGTAACAGACAATGCGGCTTTTCTAGTCCAATGGGAGAAACCACAGCTCGAGGAGGGGGGAGTGGAGGTCTGTCAGAGAACAAGGCATCTTTTGAATCCCCTTCTTCATTGTTCTCAGCAATAACAACATACAACTCATCATCTGACTCAACCTCGCTGCCTCTCTCCTGTCTACTGTCTTCATCGTCTTGATCATCTTCCCTTTCCTTTTTTTCTTCCTCTGCTTCTGCCTTGTAGATCTGCCCTCTTCCATGATGATGTGATGTATGCGGCGTCATCGCTGTTTGGGAGAAGGACTGAATTATTTCATTTAAAATACACCATCTGGAAGCATTTCATGTTTCACAGTTTCCCACAGAAGTAACCCCGCTACTAATAAAACTTTTATGAGCCAATACAGAGGAAGGCTGTCAAATGCAGAAGTAGGCTGAACAGCAGTTTCTGGGTTTTTAAAATATTTACCAAATGAACAGTGAAAGCTTCCATCATATTTTGCCACCCCAGTCTACAACATACTCATGCATATAATAATACTCTGATTCTGTTGACTTGTCGGAGCAGAATCCTATGTTTGATAGCATCACTGAATTTTTTATTTCAACAGAAAATCTGACTTAGTAAAATAAGTGATAAGTAGGAGATGATAAAGATGATGGCAATCAGTGGCAAGCTAATCTTGGCTTGCATGTGAATGAAGGGCCAGAAGAAAGCTGGAGTTTTCAAATAGCTATTCTTTTAATGTGTTTAGCCAGATGCTTGTTTTGGACCTGGGTTCAAATCACAGCTCTGTCACTGTGGATTGATTTATGACCTTAGGCAAGTCACTTCTCTTTCCTCATTTGAAAGAAGGAATTGTCGGGGCAGCTAGGTGGCGCAGTGAATAAAGCACTGGCCCTAAAGTCAGGAGGACCTGAGTTTAAATCCGGCCTTAGACCAAACACTTGACACTTACTAGCTGTGTGACTGTGGGCAAGTCATTTAACCCCAATTGCCAAAAAAAAAAAAAAAAAAGAAAGAAAGAAGGGATTGTCTTTTACCTCTCATTGTATCCCTAGCAATTAGTGCTTGGCACATAGTAGGTGCTTAATAAAAGTTTAATGTCTATAAATTGAAGGGGGTTGGACTAGATGATCTTATATTATTAATTCTTATGAACAACAGTTTCTGTTTTCTTTGAGAAGTTTCTCCTTGCTATAATTTATTTCCTGTTTGATTTTGTAGAAGTTACTTAACCCATCTGAACCTCAGCTTTTTCATCTATAAAATGGAGATAAAAATATGTGAAGGTAGGAAGAGGGCTCTGATGACCACATGACATTCCTTAATATAAGGAGGACTATTCATCATGGATGTTGTAGTGGTTGAGTATGGGTTAAGCTAAATGGCTGCTGAGGGCCTCCCAAACTTTTAAATTCTGAGCTTCTGTGACCCCTGTTGTTGTTTCAGTCATGTCTAACTCTTTGTGACTTCATTTGGGGTTTTCTTGGCAGAGATACTGGAGTGGTTTGTCATTTTTCTTCTTCAGTTCATTTTACAGATGAAGAAGGAAACTGAGGCAAACAGGGTTAAGTGATCATCACATCACTAGTAAGTGTCTGAGCAGGATTTGAACTCAGGTCCTTTTGACTCCAATGCTATACCACTGTGCCACCTAGCTGCCTGTGACCCTTTATATGGATATAAATAATGCATTGTTCTTTGACCACCTAAAATGTCATGGTTGCATGAACCTGTAATGAAATTTTGCTGTCTGTAAATCTCTGTTCAAAAGTCTAGTTTAAATTTTGCTAAAACTGCTTTATATTATGGATGGGGAAGGAGGTGAAGAGCGGGAAAGAATCTGGGACTGAAAATAACATAAAATTCAATAAAAAATGCTTTCTGTTGTGTATGAGATTCAGGATTTTTATTTAAATAGACATGGAAGCAGTGTATTGGGAGCATTTTGTGAGCTGATGTTTGTAGCAGCAGACTTTTGGGGAAGAAAATATTTAGGATGGTCCACACCACCACAATTAAAGATAAAAAAAGAGAAAGAAGACGAGAAGAAAGGAAGGAATGAGGAGCTTCCAGCAAAAAAAAAATACAGAGACAAATTGGCAGAGAAACCTTCAGTAACCGGAGGATTTTGCATTATCATTATTAAAATGCCAACACACATTTTATTTGTTTGTTTCCATCTTGTGTTGAGAATGGAATTAGGAGAGATGTCAAATAGAACTTGGCCTTTTATTTAGGTTTTAAAAAAAAAGTTCTGAAAGTATAAACCTGCGGTTGAGATAGAGAAAAAAAAAAAAACTAGCCACCCACTAGAGAGATAAGAATTCTGGAATGCATTAACAGTTTTTGAAAAGAACAATAACTTAACATATGCAGTTAGTTCACAAAGCTAATGTTGGAAATGAGTGAAAAAGATTACCAGATTCAACCATGGACATTTGTTTTTTTTTATTTTTACTTTTTTATTTTGAATAAACATAAAAAGAACATTTCCATACACACAGCAGAAAGCTCAAAAAAGATTCTAAATGAAAATGTGAATCTCCATTTTATAGATTTGCTTTAAAAATATTCTGCATGCTACTTTCACAACTCTCCTGTCTGCCTGCTTTCTTCTGAGCTTCCTTCGGCTCTCTTCTGTGCATTAAAAAGTTCAATAGCTTTTAAAAAAATTACTATTTCCAGTCCCTTTTCCCAAATGACTGAGAGAAATAAAGGGGGAAAATTGTAACCAACAAGTACAGTTAAGCAAAATTTCTATACATATATATATATATATATATATATATATATATGGTGGCTATGTCCAAAATTGTAGGTTTCTGCACTTTGTGTCTATTACCTAATTCTCTGTTGGGAGATGGACAACATTTCGTTATAGATACTTGGGAGACATGGTTGGTTATGGCTTGGATCAGAGATCATAAGTATTTTGAGATCATTTTCCTTTAAATGTTACTGTTTTTATATAAATTGTTCTCCAGGTTCTGTTCACTCCATTCAGTGTCAATTGATACTACCCAAAATTCAATGAAATCATCTCCTTCATCATTTCTTACAATACATAAATGTTATATTATAGTCATGTATCATAATTTGTTCAGCCATTCTTCAATTGCCTAAGAGGCAATGTAAGGCACCCCTTAGCTTCCAGTTCTTTCAGTCATGTAGGCTTATTATAATCTGAACTGCTTATTCTTCCTCACCCCCTATATCCAATCAGATTCCAAGTCTTGTTGATTCTGCCTTTATAACACTCTTTTGTATATGCCCCCTTCTATCTTCTGGCACTGCTACCATTCTGCTGCACAGCCCCATCACCTCATACCTAGACTATAGCGATAACCTACTACAAAGGTGGGGGGTGGGTGGTGGGGAATGTTTCCTTGCCTCAAATGTTTTCCCACTCCAGTCCATCTGTCAATTAGCTATCAATGCAGTCTTCTTAAAGTGCAGGTCTGACCATATTTACTGCCTTATTCAATACCTCCAGGATTAAATATAAAATCCTCTGACTTTTGAAAACTTTTATTCCTGGCCCATCCCTCTATTTCTAGACTTCTTACACCTTACTCCTCTCAACACATTTTGTGATGCAGTGAAATTGGCTTCTTTGCTGTTCATTTCCCAAGACACTCAGCTCCCAATCCTGTGTATTTTCATTGGCTGTAATTCTCTCCTCTCTTATCTCTCTACCTCCTAGTTCTCCTGGCTTCTTTCAAATCTTAACTTAAATTCCTCCTTTTGCAAGAAGTCTTTCCTGATCCCCTTTAATGCTAGCTAGTGCCTTCCCTCTGTGATTATTTCCATCTACACACACACACACACACACACACACACACACACACACACACACACACACA